AAAAACAAGAAAAAAAAAAAAAAAAAAAAAATTGATAAAAAATATAATTTTTTTTAGAATCCCCTAATATGGCTTCGAGAAATCAATCCAATTTCCAAGATTTTTTGCCCCTCATGGCCGAGAAGCTCGGCGGGGAAGGATTAATCGGCGAGCTCTGTAATGGGTTCCGGCTGTTGATGGATTCGGACAAGGGCGTAATCACATTCGAAAGCCTGAAAAAGAACTCTGCTTTCTTGGGCCTGCAAGAACTTTCAGACGATGATTTACGAGGTATGCTGAAAGAGGGCGATTTTGATGGAGATGGGGCACTTAATCAGATGGAATTTTGCGTGTTAATGTTTAGGTTGAGCCCGGATTTGATGGACCAGTCTCAGTATTTGTTGGAGGAGGCTCTTGAGAGAGAAGGGTTCCCAGATTGTGAGATGTTTTTGTAATGNAACTTGATTTTGGGATTTTTACTTGTCTTGTTTAATCAATTCTTTGACAGCATGTAATTTGTATCCAATTAATTGTTGAATTGTTTGTTCTTGGGAGGTGTTGAAAAGCTCGGATATCCCCGAATGCAGTTAAGAATTGTATAAATTGGATATCCCCGAATGCAGTATAAATTGTATAAATTTGATATCCAATTTATCCAATTTATACTGAATTTTTCTTTTTTTCCTTTTCTTGTAATGTTTTCCCCTATTATAAAACTGCAAATGTGAATCTTGCTGTGTCATGTTTTATTGTGTACTGAACTATGTGGTCAAAATTATGGTAGTTTTGGTGTACAATGTGCATAATGTTTGGTAGTCTCCAGAATGGTTAAGATGTGGGGAAATATTAATTATTTTTATAAGGTGAAATTATAAAAATATGAAATAGTAATACGATAATGATGAGTGATTGGAATAATATGGAGCAAATGAATAATAGTATTTATTAAAAAATGTGCTGTAGTTGTTGGTTTTTATTTCAAACATGTATCAGAAAAATTAAAAAGAAAAAAAACTGATGGAAAGTACTCCTTGGGATCTTTATAGACCTTTTTACATGTTTATTATATTTTAAAAAAAATTCGTTGAGATACTATCATTAAAAACAAATCATAAATAAATCATTTAAATATGAATCATAAACCTAAAAATAAAACAATTTAGAAACTAATGACAAAAAAAATAACTAACCATCCATAAAAATAAAAACAAAAATTAATATATTTATAACTAAAAAAATCTCGTAAATGGATAAGTAAAAGGGATTTGTAAGTGGACGGAGTATTTTTCTCATCCTTATATCCGGAATAATGCTTTCTTGTCATAAGACGTAATAATGTGTAAGTATTTTGAGTTGTTAATTTTAAGATGTGGTGTGTAAATCAAAAGATAGTATCATTGGTAGTATATCAAACTTTATATCAATCATTATATTTTTTGTAGCATGTATTATGAGTTGTTAATTTTAAGATGTGGTGTGTAAATCAAAAGATAGTATCATTGGTAGTACATCAAACTTTATATCAATCATTATATTTTTCGTAGCATGATCCTTATATCCATGCCTAAATTTTGAAATAAGTACCCTCTGCACGAGCCTAATTTTCTATACTACTCATTTAACGAGAAAAAAATAAAAAAAATCGCACATCAAACTCCATTAAGTCTGAATTATGAAATTGAGAAAATTCACGAAATTGAGAAAATTCAATTCCACTTTCTCTAATATCGACGCAGCCATCACCACCCTCACCATCTTCTCCCCACCGGACTCCGCCTTCACTTCCGGTCAGCCGCCTCTCACCCACATCCTCCTTCACTTCTCCCCCTTCTCTCTCTCCCCGTCATCCTTCCTCTTCCTGCCCTTCACCTCCACAGTTCCGTCCTTCTCCCCCGCCAGCCACCTCGTCGTGACCTCCGGCCAGCCTGAACAAATATCCATCAACAGAGTCTCTGATACCCCAATTTTCGACGACGGATTTGTCTTCGTCTACGCAATTGACGGTTTCTTCCACCTGAAATTCACCCTAGCAGATGCAGATCCGGCCAACCCGAACCCTAGATCCGATTTCCATTAGCATGAATTAATGTGTCATTATTGAGGTAAATTGGAATATGTGGCTTTGCTATTTGTGAATTGGATGATTATTTTGTCATTATTGCCATATATTAATTTGTCATTATCTATTGAAATAAATTTATCGAGAATCTCAACAGAATGTTTTGGTTTTCACTCCTAGGGCGTGCCAGATTTGCTGCCGAGCTTAACTGCTTTTTAGCTCACAAACGAACAAATCAACTCGGTTCAGGAGGTAAAAAAAGTCTGCTCAAAATTCATGGGCGTTTTTTTTTTTTTTTTTTTTTTNAATTGATTTTTTTTTTTTTTTTTTTTTTTTTTGTGTTTGTTACATTGATTTGTTGATGAGTTTCGATTTATTGTTGTTGTTGTGGTGGTTCGTACAATAGAAAGTTACGAGGATTAGAAATGAACATCTTGATCATGCTTGTGGTGTGATCAATGACCGAGTGAAAGGTTCACTAAAGGTGACTCGAGCTTTTGGGGCCAGTTTTCTCAAACAGGTGTGTATATGTGAGTATGTATGTTCTTTTGAGGCATATTCTTTGTGGTTTTGGATTTTGCTCTTTCACCCCGATGAAGCATAATATGGTTCTGATATGCTTGCTAAACGCAACGTGTCCTTGTAGAAGGTTTTTAGAAATGTATGTCGAGTTGCTTTTGCGGTTTTATTTTTATTATACAAAAGGAAAATATATTGTTTTATAATGATTATGAATTGATTGATGAGTGTTTCTTGATGCTTTGATGTTATCCAAATGTTCTTGAGGTATTAAACCATAAATTTTAGGCTATTTGTTTTATGTGTGGCTTTGTTGTTTGTGAATTGAGGTAAATTGGATGATTATTTGCTTTGTCTATTAGACTATAGAGTATTCGAAATGATTTCGGGTTTTGCAGTGCTGGTTGGTGAATATAGATAAATGGCTACTTGTGGAATTTCGATCGTTCCAACTATGTTTTCTTGTGAGTTGTGATACTATTTTAGTCTATTTTCTGAAGTTCCTCTGTTTTACTCATCGGCCAACCGATATGTTCTTTCCGTCAGATGAGAAGAGAGGTGAAAATGGAGACTCGAAGGTCGGAAAAAGTGATGGGCTGCGTTTTATATTTTTCGATGGCTCCGATTACCCCTTCTTTCTAATTTACGTGTGTTAATTTTTAGAAAATAAAAATTAAAGTAGCTTTTTTAGTGTTAGTTTGATGTTTATTTGATGTTTATCTATAGTTTTCTTGAAGATGAGAGCTTGAATAATCTGTGGAAGTTTTTTATAAAGTAGATTTTTGAGTGTTAATTGATCTATGATTTCATTACGTGTGTTAATTTCTGGGAACAAAATTTAGTTTTTTGAGAATTAATTCGATGTTTATCTATGATTTCTTGAAACTCGGAGCTTGAATAATATGTAGAAGTTTTTTTTTATTTACTGCAAATGTGACTCATGTCTTGCAATTAATTCTCTAAATTTTGATGTAGAGAATTTGAAAGCTACTTTCGCGTTGTTGTGCCGATTGGTGATCGTTGTTTATGTGTGTGCTTACTATGTGATATATTTGTATTTTAAATGATTTTGAAAGTTAATTTGATTGTTTATATGTAATCAAAGATATGATTATATAGGTATTAATTAGGTTTTTTTTTGTTTATTTGTAGTTTATATTCAGTTTATTGTTTTAATTAATTAGGTTTTTTTAGTTTATTTGTAGTTTATATTCAATTTATTTTTTAATTAATTATATTTTTTTGGTTTATTTGTAGTTTATATTAAGTTTATTTTTTTTAATTGATTTTGTTGTCTATTTATTTATGTGTCATTTAGTTATAATTATAAATTAGATAATATACTTAAGATATACTTAAAATTAATCAATTTTTTATGATTTAGTAAAAAAAAAGTAGATAATATACTTATGATAAATTTAAGATATACTTAAGATTAACCAGTTTTTTATGATTTAGTAAAGAAAATAGATGATATACTTATGATATACTTAAGATATATTTAAGATTAACCAATTTTTTTATGATTTAGTAAAAAAATAAAAAATATACTTAAAATATACTTATGATTAACCATAATTCAAATTAATTTTTAATAGAGATAATGTAATAAGTTTAAGATAAACTGAAAATGATCTAAATGAAATTATAAAAGATGGACAATATGGTTTTCAAATAAAACGACTTTTGATAAATAGGTGGAATTGTTTACAGTGCTCGTATTTAAAAAGGCTATGGAGCCCATAAGTGGAATTATTTTACATGTTTTGTCGATTGGGAACAGATTTTTTAAAGGAGCATATATGCGTCCTTTAGCCCTTATGATGGGCCTATATAGTACGAGTCCAATTAAAAAATATGGGTCGTGAGCCCAGGCGAAAAACTGATAAGTCTGCCGTCGATAGAAGTCGAAGCCCATACTCCTGAAATGGATCTCCTTTCCAAAGCCTACGCAACCGCTTCCGACGACGAAGACGGCGGCGGTGGCGTCGCCGGAACAGGATCCCGACACTCACATCCACCACCGCCTCCCAAACGCGTCCGAGGCTCTACTTCATTCCCAAATTCCTCACAAATGTCCGTTTTTCGCCTTCCGAATTTCCCTGCCGAAGCTCCGATACCCGGGAGCTACATATCTAAGCGACAAAGAGCTTTGGTTTCCGATCCGACACTATCCGAACCGAATCCGCCTCATGCCGACCCGTCTCCAGGTTCAATCCTAAGATCTGATTTAAAGTTTTTTTTTTTTTTCAAGTTTTAATGTGATGTATCACGTGAAGATGTTGTTCCTCTTTTGAAACTGTTGAAAAATATAGCAGTGTTGTTAACATTCTTCACTTCATATTACAGTGTTAATGTGATGTGAAGATGATGTTCCTCTTCAGAAACTGTTGAAATTTTACCCAGGTTGTTGACATTCTTCACTGCATATTACAGTTTTAGGAAGCCTTTCCGATTCAGATTTGCCTCAATGTGTTTTTACCGCCTTGAGGCGCCGCTCAAAGAACGTTGTAGTGTCCAACCAAACTCCCCAGTCACTCTCTGCAGGTCTCAGAGGCCATACGAAGGCTGTTAATTCAATGCAATGGTCTAAATCTCATGGTAAGCACTTACTGTTCTGCAAAGCTTCTACAATGTAATTAATGGCAAGTAAAAACGATAAAATCGTAATATTTGACATTGTATGCCTTAGGACTGATGTGTTGTTGTGTGTTGTTGCTTGTATCATACATCTATTTGTTCTGTATGCGCTGCTTTTTTCGGACGATACTTTATTTGAGGTTGTTGTGAGATCGAGAGTCGATCTGCAATAATATATCCAGTCAAAATGATTGGGCATAATTGACTCAAGCGAAGAACTATTACTGGATGAAGGGGTGAAGATGAAAGATGTAGGTACAAACCGAAGATGCATATTGGATAATAACAGAAGTATTTCTATTTGTTGTTAATTTATTATGGTATTTTCTTTTGAAAGACTTATTATACTTGTTGAGAAGCAACTTAGAAGCAAGAATGTTCTTCAGGATTGAATTTGCTGTTTCTTATGCATTATGTTAATAGTTTACGAGCATTTAATATTGGAGTTTTTGAGGTTCCATTTGTTTTCCCTTTCTCTGAGTAAATTTGTCTTCTGCAGTATTATGTTTGAACAGTCCATGATATTTGTCACACTATGAATTTTGATGTGTTTTATGAACTTAGTTTCCAGCTCATCTTCTAGCATCTGCCGGAATGGATCATACTGTTCGTATCTGGAATGTATGGAGCACAGGTCAAAAGCAAGCACGTGTGTTCAATAATCACCACGCGGCAGTTAAAGATGTGAAATGGTCAGAACACGGTTTATCTGTTCTATCTTGTGGTTATGATTGCACTTCACGGTTAGTTGATGTCGAAAAGGGAATGGAGGTTAAGGTCTTCAAGGAGAATCAAATTGTAGAAGTTGTCAAATTTTGTCCAGACAACTATAATCTCTTTCTCTCTGGAGGATCAAAAGGTCAACTTAAACTGTGGGATATCAGGACTGGCATTGTGGTCCATGAATATGTACGAAACCTTGGGCCAATTCTTGACGTGGAGTTCACGGTTGATGGCAAATATTTAATCACCTCGAGTGATGTTTCCAAAACCAACCTTAGTGAGAACTCGATTCTTGTATGGGATGTTTCACGTCAAGTTCCGTTATCCAATCAGGTATTTCAAATTTAATTTTCTATGTTCCTGGCATGAGAGGGTGAAAATTGAAGTATCTGTTTAATCATATGATATATGATCTAGATCTACTTTTTTAACTGTAAACGCTGTATTACAGGTCTATGCAGAAGCATTCACGTGCCCTTGCATCAGATGCCACCCCTTTGAGCCATACTTCATTGCTCAATCCAATGGAAACTACATTGCTATATTCTCGACAAGACCTCCATTCAAACTTGACAAGTACAAGAGATACGAAAGTCACGGTGTATCAGGCTTCCCCATCAAGTGCAATTTCAGTCCTGATGGAAATATGGTGGCTTCTGGATCCTCTGATGGATGCATATTCTATTTCGACTCTAAATCATCCAAATTTCTCAAAAAGGTTAAGGTATACGAGCAAGCATGCATAGATGTTGTGTTCCATCCTTACTTGCACGACGTTATCGCTAGTTGTAGCTGGAATGGTGAAGTCTCTGTATTACAGCCGAGGCCTCGGTAAAAAATGAAAAGTCTCGGTCATATGTCTCTCTTTTAAGGCATATAATCATTTGGTTTCGAGATTTATATATCTGGTGTCATGGATTTCTGTTCAATGTATTATGACATTTGGTCAACTTATCTGGACATGAGTTGTGATATGATGTATGTCTTACAATGCGTTTGAGTTGCGAAAGTTCAAGGCCTGAATAGAAGGTAGTAAGTTAGTAACCATGACCTTTTCTATGTTTTTGACAGACAGTAAAATCCTATATTTTTACCTCGCCTGATTGTGCTGGACTTTCTATAATAATTCTCCTCTCGGTTCTTGAAAGTAATGTTTTAACATAGGTTGTGGTAGTTTTCCTTAAAGCTTCGGAGTTGTAGAACACTTCAGTCACTATTAAGACTTATGCTACTGTTTATTGGCTCATTAGTTAATAAGCCAAGCCCGAACTCAAGTATCAGAAGCTCGTCAGCTTTTTTATTTTCAGTGTTATCTGATTGACTTGATTTTGTAACCATAATATTTGAGGGTGGCTGAGGAGAGACCATAATTGATATATATATGTCCATGATAATTGTATGTTATAAATAAAATATGTAATAACATTTAATATAATAATTTTACAAATAAAAAAATTAACCAATTAAGTTTTTAAATGATATTATTATTCCCTAGGAATAGAGCTCAGAAGAATCCATCACTACTTGTCATCCTTTTATTTGTTGGTCTTCCTCATAAAAAGTTAAAAAGCTCCAAAATCAGCCCAACTTAAATGGTAATAGACAGACAGTGCCAACTATGCATCAGTCACAAAGCAAACTAACATTAAATCTCCTTCCCAAAGAAAATCTAAACAACAACAAAAAAGAAAAGGGGAAAAAAGGATGTTACTAATAACTTTAGTTACAGCAAAGTACACCATAAATTACATCCCAAAAAAAAAAAACTCATTTGTATATTCAGTACAAGTTAGTCCGAGTAAAAATGGCGCGCCATTCGATGACCGATAAATCATTCACAGAAACACAGGAGCCATCACCAGAGTAATTGTAGCCAACATTTTGATGAGAACATGAAGGGATGGACCTGCTGTGTCTTTAAACGGGTCGCCCACACTGCAAATCAAGTTTAAAAGAAATGCTGAATATAATGAGAAAATGAACCATATACGAGACCTAATTCCATCCAATCTAGATTCTTCTATATAACAATGATACCTTAGATATAAAGCCTTGTCCGATAATAAGAGTTTTGGGGCCAAATGAGAAGGGTTTGATGTGTCAAGAACCTCGTATCTTATTAATTTGACAAGTAGCAGTTTGAAATAGCTTTTTTCATCCAAAAAACTAATTTCGGAAAGGATCAATATAAGATAACTTTTGGAATAGACGATTGCAATATTAGTTAATTTTACATATCGAACCACTAATTATTTACCGAACGCTTCTACAAAATCAACTATTTCAATCAGCAAGTCAAAGTTGCAAAGGCTATATTTGGTAAACCTAGTTGATATGCTAACTTATAGCTTTTAAGTGAATTTCGAGCTTATAGCTGATAACTTATGACTTATGATTTAAAAGCTAGCTTATATGATAAAAATGTTTGGTAAAATTAGTTGATCGGCTAGCTGAAATAAAAATTTCAATGGGCTTTATTTGAAAAGCTACTCAATGAAGCTTATAAGTTAAACTCGTTATACCAAACCAAACTTTTTAAAAAAGCTCATTCTACCAAACCAAACTTGTTTGAATACAGGAAGCTTATAACTAATCAAATAAGTTATAATACAACTTATATGCTTACTAAACACAGCCTAATTCAATCAACTATCAACTATACGTTGTCAGATAAAGTCCAATACAGTGCCATATTATTTAGAAACATGTGAGACCATAATTTTTTTTTTAAAAAAGAAGTAGTATTTACTATTTAGCACTTACGTGTCACCAGTAACAGCTGCTTTGTGACAATCACTCCCTTTGCCTCCAAGAGCACCTGTCTCGATGTACTTCTTAGCATTATCCCAGGCACCTCCAGCAGTGTTTAGGAATAGGGCCATTAGAATGCCCGAAACAGTAGCAAACATCAACATGGCAGCCACAACTTTGGCCCCAAGCAGAGGATGACCTGTATAGTAGCCTAGCACCCGGAACAGAAAACCTAACCAAAAAATTAAAGATAAAAAGTTTTTAATCATTACAAGAAGCATAACGTAGAAATTTATTAATGTTTGCAGATGATGGCCGGGCTTTTGGCAGAAAAGTAACAATGCAATGACCTAAAGCAAAATGTCTATTAGTATTAGAACAGTTATTCCACATTTAGTGCAGAAGGTAAATCATCAGATGAAGAAAAGTAGATCCGCACATATAAAATTATGTGGAATTAGGTTCTTGCTCTTTCAGGCATGCAAATCCTCAATACGAACAAAGTTGCAAGCAAATTTTAGTCATCCAATTGATAAAGCTGAAACTTGCTAGCACTTTCAATTCAACCCATTTGTGAAACTCTTCGACATTACATACGTTAGTGATAAGTTCAGCACTCACAGGCAGTTACATTTGAGATAAAAAAGAATAAAAAAATAAAAATCATCTCATTAATGCAAGACTGGCTTCAACCATGTTAATATTTCGAAAGGTGCACAACAAAGTGTTACGATCATTCTCCTCCAAAAACAGCAATGCAAAACATATTATCTAATGCAGAAATTTTATAATCTATTCANAAAAAAAAAGGTGGAAAGAAAAGACTTGCCAACAACTATAGGTGATATAATGGCCAATGCTCCAGGCTTAATCATCTCCCTTAGAGATGCTGATGCAACAATAGATACACAACGACCATAATCGGGTTTCTCCTTATAATCCTGAAACACACGATCAATATTACACGCCTTGGTATTGGACACAACCCAATACATGCTACTAAACCCTAAAAAAGACAATTAAAATACTAACCATAATTCCTGGCCTCTCAATGAACTGTCTTCTCACTTCATTAACTACCTCTTGAGCACTTCTACCAACAGCAGCACAAGCCCATGCACTGAACAGAAATATAAGCATAGATCCCAATAGTCCACCAACAAACACTTCAGGGATGGCAATGTCAACCTGCAAACACAATATTCTTGAAGTCAAACTTACAGGCAGCATGCAAGAAGCAGAAAGTCAAAAAGGAACCGAGATTTTTAATATTTCAAGTTTTCAATATGCGTGCCTGATTGAAGGGTACGTGGGCAAAGGAAGCTACTTCATCCATGTAAGCACTGAACAGAAGAAAAGATGCGAGTGCAGCAGATCCAATTGCAAAGCCTTTGGTAGTAGCTTTTGTCGTATTACCGACCGCATCAAGAACGTCGGTAATTTCACGCACACTTTCAGGCTGGCAAGGAGAAAAAAAAAATCCTGATGTATTTAAAAACAAACAAACAAATTTGGGTTTTATCCAAAATATACCTGTTGACTCATTTCAACAATTCCACCCGCATTATCAGCAATTGGGCCAAACATATCCATTGTGAGTACATAAGCTGCTGTGCTGAGCATCCCCATTGTTGCAACAGCTGTCCCAAACAACCCACCAGTTGGACTTCCAGACTCATCAACTAGTCCTGAACTATGGCCCAACCAATATGCAGATATAATTGATACGCTTATGACAAGTACGGGAAGAGCTGTCGACTCGAGTCCCAGACTAACTCCAGCAATTATGTTAGTCCCATGTCCGGTTGAGCTTGAAAGTGCTAACGAGCGAACTGGCTCGTGCTTGTAATCAGTGTAGTATTTTGTTATCCACACAAAGATATACGCCGTCATAATCCCAACCAAACCACATAAAGCAAAGTTCAACCAAGCAGAAGGCGCTTGTTCAGTATACAACATCCAGCGCGTGGACTGCAAAACAAAACCGAGCCATCACCACACTAAGTAGTGGAAGCATCACGATAAAAACAAGGAATACATAGTGTTATCAATATAATGCTAACATACAAAAAAGTGATTGTCCAAGAAAAGACTAAAACTTCTTACCACACCAAATGTCAGAACAGCTAAAAGTATTGTCACGGAATACCCTTTCTGAAGTATTGTCATTGGGTCTTCAATAACCCCAATCTTTCCAGAGTCCCGAGTATTTCGAATGGAAAAGATTCCAACCGATGATATTATCAGGTCAAATGAGTGGACAACAAGAGGAAACAAAATGAAACCCGATGGATCTGCATGTAGATGAGAAATTATTTTATTCAGCAAGATAATAGCATGGTGAAGTGAGAATTTCCCACATCACCATCCAATTACATCATCATGGCTACGAAAATAAGTGAAGAAATCACAAATAGATACATGCCATATTAAAATCCAAGACAACAAATGTAATCACTGTTATTGATAGGACAGAAGCCAGTAACAAATAATAATCATCAATGTAAAGAACATTCCTACATGTGGGGATGAGCGGGGGGTGAAAGATAGGAGGGAAGGAGGGGGAAAGAGATCTAATGTTAATATGATCTTCAGATAAATACCACTAAAAAATAAGGAGTGGCTAAAATTTTCCAGACAATTCAGACAATTCTAGGAGTGACTACATTTACACAAAATTTTCATGATTAGATAGTGGGATACTGGGATTAATAAAATGGCAACATGAAATAACATATATATATGCCAATTAAACTAGATTTTTGCGTTAAAAAAAAAAACAAAAACAAAAACAAAACTAAATTTTAGCAGAATATAGGGGAAGTTAAAATAAAAACTGTCAAGCATAGACGAATATAATATCATTTTGTGCAAAAAGACATGTTTGAGAAAATTATCAGAAAAAAAACATACTTGAGTATACACATTAAAAATCCAAAACATACCTTCAATCTTACACCGTTGTGCCATTGTTCCACCTAGAATCATTGCACTAATAATTTCTGCAGCAATACTTTCAAACAGATCAGCACCTCGCGCAGCACAGTCACCGACATTGTCGCCAACCTTAAATTTGATCGCGATGAATTTACATCAAAATAAAAAAACAAATAAGCAGAATAATAAATCCGACAACTATAAGGTACGGAAGACACATGATTAACTCTTATAAAAATGAGAACCCAAAAAGTTATTTTTCACCATATTAATATCGGCGTTCCACATACAAGACCACCTTCTAGCTCCAAAAACCTACAGAGTTTGAATAGGCCTCTTACCAAATCGGCAATGACAGCAGGATTACGTGGATCGTCTTCAGGAATACCTTGCTCCACTTTTCCAACGAGGTCAGCTCCAACATCAGCTGCTTTTGTATATATCCCACCGCCCAACTGGGCAAAAAGTGCAACGAATGAGGCCCCAAAACCATATCCAACAAGAAGAAGAGGTACTGCAAGATAAAAAAGAAGAGTCAAGCAACAGACAGCAGATGGCTATAAACTTGCAGTCCTATAAGGATGTAAGAAATATATAATCTGCTGTTTCCTTGCAGCTTCATTGCAATAGCAATGCAAATTCCTTGCAGCTGCAAAGCACCTTCATAGCAGCCATTATGGGCTGATTTTTCAGCTTAAGTAATTTCTAGGAAAGTCACTAGGTAGTTGTTTTTAGTTCTTATAAATAGGGATGTAGTTTTGTATTTGTAAACACAGCAAAAACTGAATAATCAATACTTTGAGTTGTTCAATATCTTCTTCTATCCTAAAAGTGTCCGTTTGTGTCGGGAAGCATTTTTGCTTACACGAACAGTGCATCCTAGCTGCAAATAAAGACGAGCAGGGACTAACAAGTGGTATCAGAGCCATGGCAAGCCAAGATGCTGCGTCGATGGTGCAAGGGAGCGGTGCACACGCTTCACCGCGCCAGGAGGTCATCATCCACAGGACCGTACGGGACGTTGGCGGGGCCAACTGGCCGGTCCTCACACGCACAAACTATGGCGAGTGGGCGGTGCTGATGAAGGTCAAGTTGCGTGCGCGTAAGCTATGGCGGGCCATTGAAGAAGGCACCGAGGATGAAGAAGAGGACTGTGCAGCGATGGAAGCGATTCTATCCGCTGTGCCTCACGAGTACGTGGAGTCGCTGGGCGTAAAGGACTCCGCAAAGGCTGCTTGGGACGCCCTCAAGGCCATGCGCATCGGGTCTGATCGCGCAAAGAAGGCGAAGGCGCAGCAGCTGCGGCGGGAGTATGAGGCGCTGGTGTTCCGCGACGGCGAGGCAGTGGAGGATTTCTCGCTCCGTCTGCAGTCGCTCGTCAGTCAACTGGCGGCGCACGGCGTCACCATCACCGACGAGGAGGCGGTCGCGAAATACTTGCGTGTCGTGCCACCTAAGTACGCCCAGATCGCGCTCTCCATCGAGACGTTGATCGACATGTCCACCCTCACGATTGAGGATGTGACTGGGCGCTTGCGGGCGGTCGATGACCGTGTGGAGACGGCGACGATAACTACCAGCGGCAAGTTACTGCTGACCGAGGAAGAATGGGCAGCTCGTATGCGCGAGAGGCGGCCCGGGGAAGGCTCCTCCAGCCGTGGCGGCTACGGCAAGCGTCGTAGCAAGGCCCCGCAGAAGAAGAAGGACGGCGACAACGTGCGTCCGATCGACAAGGACACTTGTCGACGCTGCGGGAAGACAGGACACTGGGCCCGGGATTGCAAGAATCCCAAGAAGGAGAAGAGGGAGGCACACCTCGCGCAGGTAGACGACGAGGAGCCAACTCTTCTAATGGCAACGACCTGCAAGTTGCACGACGTTGAGCCAGAGTTAGAGGAAGTCAAGGCGGCGGTTGCAGAGCAGGGGAAGGCACTACAGGTCGTTCACCTCGACGAGTCAAGTGCCCAAGTCCACCTTGGACGAATGGGCGGTGGCATGGAGCAGAGGTGGTACCTAGACTCCGGCGCCAGCAACCACATGACCGGCTCCAAGGAGGCCTTCTCCGAGCTTGATGACGGCGTGACGGGGACGGTGAAGTTCGGAGACGGCTCAAAGGTGGAGATTCGAGGTCGCGGCAACGTCATCTTCCGGTGCCAGAACGGCGAGCACCGCGCATTGACGGATGTGTACTATATCCCGCAGTTGCGTTCAAGCATCGTCAGCATCGGGCAGTTGGACGAGCACGGCTGTGAGGTGCTTGTCAAAGGCGGCGTGCTAAAGCTCAGGGACCGAGACCAGCGGCTGTTGGCCAAGGTCCAGCGTTCCCGGAACCGCCTCTACCTCCTCGACTTGAAGGTGGAGCAGCCAGTGTGCTTGGCAGTACGACACACCGAAGAGCCATGGCTATGGCATGCTCGTTTCGGCCATTTGAACTTCGACGCACTCGGCCGGCTGAGGAAGATGGTGCGCGGGCTCCCGCACATCGAGCACGCAGGCGAGCTGTGCGACAGCTGCCTGGCAGGGAAGCAGAAGCGGCTGCCCTTCCCAAAGGCGGCCAAGTATCGTGCGGCGGACGTCCTAGAGCTCGTCCACGGCGACCTCTGCGGGCCGATCACACCGGCTACGCATGGCGGACGGCGCTACTTCCTGCTGCTCGTGGATGACTGTAGCCGTTTCATGTGGCTGCAGCTCCTGACGAGTAAGGATCAGGCAGCAGAGGCAATCAAGCGGTTCCAGGCGCGAGCCGAGGTAGAGTCTGGGAAACGGCTGCGCGTGCTGAGGACGGATCGCGGTGGCGAGTTCACATCGGTGGAATTCGCTGCGTACTGTGCAAACCAGGGGGTGGTGCGCCATCACACTGCGCCGTACTCACCGCAGCAAAACGGTGTAGTGGAGCGGCGGAATCAGACCGTGGTGGGCATGGCCCGAAGCATGATGAAGGCAAAGGGCATGCCAGCGGAGTTCTGGGGAGAGGCTGTGAGCACGGCAGTGTTCATCCTCAACCGTGCGCCCACAAAGGCCCTGAAGGGCATGACGCCATTCGAAGCTTGGCATGGTAGGCAGCCCGACGTCTCGTTTCTAAGGACGTTTGGGTGCATTGGCCATGTGAAGAAGACGAAGCCCTTCATGTCCAAGCTTGAGGATAGGAGCACACCGATGGTGTTCCTAGGCTACGAGGAGGGGAGCAAGGCCTATCGGCTCTACGATCCACGTGGAGGCAAGGTGGTGGTTTCGCGGGATGTGGTGTTCGACGAAATGGCGGCCTGGGATTGGGAGAATCCTGGCACGGGGGAAGCCCGTGGCGTTGGCGGTACGTTCGTCATCGAGCATTTGGTGATCCACGGAGGAGGAGATGTGGGAGTAGAGGAGCCAGCTGCGGACGCGCCAAGTCCAACAGCTGTGGCGGCGTCGGATGAGCCGCAAAGTCCTGCCATGACGGGCACGGGCGAAGAATCTCCACCAGTGGCTGCACACACACCCTCACCACATTCCCCTACTGCGGCAGGACAGGGGACATCTCCGACGACAGTTGAGTTCGCCTCTCCTCCAAGCGACATCGACGAGTATGTGGATGCCTTCCACGACGGCGAGGGGGTGAGGTTTCGCAGGATGGACAACCTTGTTGGCAACTCGGCGGTACCAGGCTTAGCGAGCCGATTACTCGATGATCAGGAGCTGCTCCTCGTCAGCGCAGAGGAGCCATCGACTTTCGCGCAGGCCGAGGGAGATGTCAATTGGAGACGAGCTATGCTAGAGGAGATGAAGGCGATCGAGGAAAATGAGACGTGGGAGCTCGTCGATCCACCTCCAGGCTGTCATCCAATCGGGCTCAAATGGGTCTACAAAGTCAAGCGGGACGAGTGTGGCGCCATAGTCAAGCACAAGGCGCGCCTCGTTGCTCGCGGTTTCGTCCAGCGAGAGGGCATCGACTTTGAGGAAGTTTTTGCACCAGTGGCGCGCATGGAGTCAGTTCGCCTACTGCTAGCCATGGCGGCAGCAAAGGACTGGCGCATTCATCACCTGGACGTGAAATCGGCCTTCCTAAATGGAGAGCTAGCGGAGACTGTTTTCGTCAAGCAAGCCCCGGGCTTCGTCGTCAAGGGAAAGGAGCACAAGGTGCTACGGCTGCGGAAGGCACTCTATGGGTTGCGACAAGCCCCGCGAGCGTGGAACGCCAAGCTCGATGCCACTCTGGGTACGCTTGGGTTCACGCGCTGCGAGACTGAGCACGCGCTCTACACGCGACGACGGGGGAAGGAGGAGCTCGTCGTCGGCGTGTATGTAGATGACTTGATCATCACCGGGGCACGAGAAGGGGACATCAACGGTTTCAAGCACGAGATGGCAGCTCGTTTCCGCATGAGCGATCTCGGGCAGCTCTCCTACTACCTCGGCATCGAGGTGAAGCAGGGGAGAGACTCCATCACTCTCTGCCAGCGTGCGTATGCGGGGAAGCTGTTGGAGCGGAGCGGCATGGCTGACTGCAAGTCATGCGCGACTCCAATGGAGGAGCGGCTGAAACTGACGAAAGCCAGCACCGCGGAAAAGGTGGATGCAACACTCTACCGGAGTATCGTCGGCGGGCTACGCTATCTAGTCCACACGAGGCCAGATATTGCATTCGCCGTGGGCTATGTCAGTCGTTTCATGGAGGACCCCCGAGAGGATCATTGGGCTGCGGTAAAGCGGCTGTTGCGCTATGTCAAGGGGACGGTGGACCAGGGCATCATCTTTCCCAAGACCGGCGGTGGAAGTGGGCTGCGGCTCACGGTTTTCAGCGATGCAGACATGGCAGGCGACATTGATGGGCGGAAGAGCACCTCCGGTGTGCTCGTCTTCCTTGGATCAGCCCCAATCTCATGGCAGTCGTTGAAACAGAAGATCGTGGCGTTGTCTACGTGCGAGGCGGAGTACGTGGCGGCAGCCACAGCGGCATGTCAGGCGGTCTGGCTGCGTAGGTTGCTGGGCGAGCTGACCGGCGAGGAAGCTCGTCCACCAGCTCTGATGGTGGACAACCAGCCCGCCATTGCCCTTGCAAAAAATCCAGTCCTCCATGACCGGAGCAAGCACATCGATACCCGTTTTCACTTCATCAGGGATTGTGTCGATGAAGGACATATTGTTTTGGAGTTTGTCGAATCCGGACGGCAGCTCGCAGACATCCTTACCAAGCCACTCGGCCGTCTTCGGTTCATGGAGCTGAGGACCAAGATTGGAATGATAGGAAACAAGGAAGAGCAGCATGATTAGGGGAAGAATTGTAAGAAATATATAATCTGCTGTTTCCTTGCAGCTTCATTGCAATAGCAATGCAAATTCCTTGCAGCTGCAAAGCACCTTCATAGCAGCCATTATGGGCTGATTTTTCAGCTTAAGTAATTTCTAGGAAAGTCACTAGGTAGTTGTTTTTAGTTCTTATAAATAGAGATGTAGTTTTGTATTTGTAAACACAGCAAAAACTGAATAATCAATACTTTGAGTTGTTCAATATCTTCTTCTATCCTAAAAGTGTCCGTTTGTGTCGGGAAGCATTTTTGCTTACACGAACAGTGCATCCTAGCTGAAAATAAAGACGAGCAGGGACTAACAAAGGAGAAGGAATACTTATTTCAAAGTTTCGTAAGGTGGTAGCAGAAGCTTACAGTCGGTAACCTTCATGGCACCAGGTGAATCGACCCCCAACCAGACGTAAAAAGTTGCATAAAGAATAGCAATACCAATGACAGCCATTCCAACAACTACCAAAGCAGAAAAGCCACCAGCACGAACAGCAATCTGCAAAGAGCTAGGCCAACTCAGGAAGTCTAATGCATTTCCAGCTGAACATTAGTTAGATATAAATCCAATGAAAGGAAACCTGCAATGCCTCTCTTGCAGATCTTCTTGCTGCACTTGAAACTCGGACATTTGCACGTACTGAAACCCACATCCCTACATAGCCAGCAACACCAGAACATAGAGCCCCAAGAAGAAAAGAAGCAACAGTAATATAAGCTGATGTTGCCCTGCATCCAAACAAAGGCAGAACACATTATATATTGCTATGAATATGGCAAATGTAGGCCAAGTTGCAGCTTGTTTGTGGTGTTGGATAGGACAGAAAATACATACACCAAATTGAATATGAGAATATCAATGATTACCTTCCCAGACCAGAAGATTCTTGCTGAGGCGTTGTACTGCGAAACAGGTATATGCTAAGAATAACTAGTCCAAGTAAAACGGCCATCTTTGAGATAGTTCCATACTGGATCCTAAAGAAACCTTCAGCACCATCACGTATAGCATCTGATATCTGGGAAATGTAACAATATGGTGTGAAAATTGAAACAAATAGAAAATCTTCAAACATAACAACCAAAAAATAACAGAATTCTATTAACTTCTTTAAGTTTCGCTGAGCAGGGAAACATGGAACAGAAAATATTAGGCATCAACCTAAACAAGACCACCAGCCACGAACTCCGACAGTGTTACAACTAATGCAACATAACTATTTGAAAACTCCCTCATAAGGGTAGAAACTAGAAACTATAAACTATATATTTCTGAAGTGATACATGATATTCTTGCCCACACAATGACAAGTATAAATTGTTGTACCTCGCAGCCACAATGAAGATGCAAAACTTTTATAAGACTGCCTCATTTGGGGAAGAGCAAAAATGTGACCTTTGTCTTTCAAGGCCAAACAATGACCGACAGCGAGAATTAGTATGGTCAAAGGTGGCATTTTTAGCAACGAGAATGTGTAAGGTGGCTTTTGCTAATTTCTCCATATCACATAACAAATGAGGTCGCATCTCATAAATATGAAAATGGAAAAAACAACAGAAAGAAAGTGTATATCAAATGTATATCAAATGAAAACAAAATGGTAAAAGTACCCAAACAAGAAAAAATATACCTGCACCATCTCAGGAGGCCCCTCATCCTTAGCGAGTACCCACTTTGTGAGATATATAGACACGAGAAAGCTGATAACGCATACTGAGTATACAAACACAATAATTGGTGATGTACTAGCACCAATGTAAACCAGAGCGCAGACTCCAACAAGCAGGAGCACCATAAGAACACGAATATTTATTCTCATAATTAGGCGGAAGATCTGTGTAAAGAATTTTGGAGTCCGTGTACGAACATAATGAGGACAGGAAACACAAATTAAAGTGCTGTAAAGAAAAGAAATGAATAGGGAAAGAAGATAAAAGGCAACTTCAAATCCTACTTAAAAACAAATGAAGATTAAAGCTAAAATCTTAAACCAGATATCACAATCACTTCAGCTGGCATGGATTACTGAACATATGATTACATAGTTTAATGTAAAGTTGCTTCTCCAGCTCATTCCTGAAAACTAATCCCATTTCAATAATACAATATTTTACTGAAACAGAATATGAGAGTATTGCATGTGCGTCTATGTTTTACGTCGAATACTTTCCTTTCTACTGGTTTGTTCATTTATTCCTTTGTGGTCCGGAAATGAAAGAAAAACCTTGAGAAAGCATTACTTAAGACCAATAGAGGCATGTCTTTAAATCTGAAAACAATGTAACCAGACTAGAAAAAATTATCTGAAATCCTTTATCTGGGAATGCTTTCAATCAAGCTAAAAGAACAGATAATGAAGCCTTTATATCCTAGTAGTTTGACAGTCATAGCATGAGCTCAATATTTGAGACAATACTTGTGGATTAAAAGTTTCCTTGCCATCTATGTGGGATTCAAATTATGAAAACAAACATGTAACTCTACCACATGAGATTCAAAAAAAAAAAAAAAAANAAAAAAAAAAAAAAAAAAGAGGTTCGGATTGAGCTCATCAGAGGAAAGGTAAGGTAAACATTACACCATATGTTTTGCTTAAAGAACCTATACGATTAATGCACTCACAAGAGGTGTGTAAGGTTTACTACGCATGTTCGGGAATATCCTTGGCTTTTCCTGATAAGGCCCCAGATTCCCACCCTCCACATCATCATCCATCGTGATCGCTTGGAAGGAGTTCACCCTTCGTCCCACGGGAAAAGAGTTAAACTCGCCACTATGGGGCAAGTCGCCCCCTGAACCTTGACGCTGCATCTTGACTTTTGTTACGGTTGCAGTACAAATCAGAAACGAAGCTGATATCAATAAATGATTTTATCCTTTTATTCCACCAGATTACTTGGTTTCCCCAAAACCTTCACCAAAAAAAAAAATAAATAAATAAATGTCCTGCAACACATTGACAGTGAATGTTACTTTTTCTGAAAACCCCAATTTCGGCACCATGGAAACAACAGTGAGATGAATTCTAAACAAGAACCAAAATGAAGTGTGGTATCACCGTACAAAATCAGCTTCGAAATATTCTATGGTGGTCCCGCTTCACGGGTTTCCCAAACTGCAAATTTGAAAAATAAATACATATGTTAACTTTAGAAACATGAATAAAAGGAAAGAATGCGAGAGAATTAATCCCAAAAAAATCTGGATCACTTCATTACAATAAAAAATCACATATTTGCAAGCACTGAATAAACAATCAACGATCACAGTTCAGCTACTGAGCAATAAAAAATATACAAATAGATAATCGGGTCCGCATAATTTATTCAACGAATTGAATAATCGAAGAGTAAAAAGGGAGATCAGAAGAATTACGAGTAACTGGGGAAGAATATGGCTAGGGTTTTTCAGATTGGGGATGTAAAGGGCAATTGATTTTGTTGAGAGTCCACGGCGGAATCTCTATGATTTCATGCATTTGACATTTGAGGGGTAGTTCTGTCTGTGAGTGTTGGGTTTTACCACTACGGCTCTGATCCACTAGACAAACACCACGTCTCACGTTTAGTGTAATTTCCAATAAAACTTTGCCATGTAGATTCAACCTTGCCAGGTCAATGCTTCTTTCTGCTTGCTGGGTGGAACTTGGAAGAGTCCACATAGTGCCGGCCCGGGGGGAAAAAATTGTTTCTTAATTTTTTTATTTTTTTTTATTTTTTTTTTTCACAATGGCAGATTTTATTGCTCAAAAAAATTGTACAAACAGTACAAACCGAACCACCAATCGGTAGAAAAAGAGGAGTGCCAACCATGGCAACCTAGCAAGAAAACAAAATAACCACCACAAATAAACAAATTCTGGCATAGACTAAAGCTAGGATTCCCGGAATCGTTTATTGCAGTAGCCGCACTATTCAACAGAGAAGTGCGTAACGAAAGATAATCCTACCACTGAACCGACGGACCTAGCATGATTACCACTACCAACATGAAAACAACATAAAAAAAATAAATTGCACAGATCCAAAGCTAAAAACAGGAAAAAGAACAACCTAAGCTAACTAACCAACGACGACACATTATCAAATTCAATCTAAGTCGAGGAAGCTGCTTGGAAAACCCAAAGATTACGGGCTTTCCATATCCACCATAGTAAGTAGACTGTAAAACGGATTCGGTGGTCAGCATTGCCATTATTCTTCAAGGAACTGAGTTTGGTCCACCATTGTTGGAAGCTATAAGTGAACTCTTCTAGGCCATCCCAGGAGATAGCTGCCATTTTCCAGACTCGCTTAGGTTTGCTACATTGGAACAGGAAGTGCTCAACGGTCTCCACTCCTTCGCCACATGTTTTACAAATTGGATCAAAATATTTCAATTTTCTGGAGAGGGCTTGGTTGACTGGGAGGGAATTATTAAACATTTCCACAGATAGTGCTTGATTTTTCTAGCAACTTTAAGGGACCAAAGCTTTGTCCGAGCAACTTTAACCTCAGCCCTGAGTTTGCTGCATTCGAGGATATCCAATTTTTTCCATTTGTCCTCCACCAATATCCTGTACACTTCAGCTACTGAAAGAATTCCTGATTTTTTGTGCAACCATTGTAGCCTGTCAGTGCAATGAGGGCCCATCCCTTTGATGCTTAGAATTGTTGTGCTTTCTTTAGGGGGAAAGCAATTTGTCACAAGGTCCACATTCCAGTGTCGACCGGTTTCATCCAGTAGTTCATGAACCCACGTGATAATAGCGCTCCACGAGTTAGAAGGATTGGGCTTGTGTGTTGGCAATGTAGGTATCCATGGATGATGCCAGATGTGTACAGCTCTCCCTTATTCACTTTGAAGAGGACATTCTGAGAAAGGAATTTCAAAGTTTTCCTTCAGCTTGACCATAACCATGATCCATTTTTTTGTTGCTTTGCTGAGATGAGGTTAGTCTTAGGGAAGTATTTGGCCTTGAGAACTCTGCTCACCAGGAGGTTTGGATGATTGTGCAATCTTCAGAGTTGTTTTGAAATGAGTGCTTTATTCATGAGGTGTATGTCATGGAATCCGAGGCCTCCCTTATCTTTAGGCAGAGTGATTGTGTTCCATGACTTCTAGTGTATTCCCCTCCCTCCTTTTTGATTAGTCCACCAAAAGTCGGCAAATAGCTTTGCTATGTTTGCTATGGGATGATGAAACAAGACATTGGAAACAGGGGGATTGCCTCAAGAACTGCTTTTAGAAGAGTCTTTTTACCTGCAAAAGATAAGAAATTGTTTTCCAATTTGAAAGCCTTTTCTTTATAGCATCCTCAATGTATGAGAAAGTCTCCAGCTTTGATTTGCCAATACCCAAGGGTAAACCAAGGTACCGAGAGGAGGTTTGAGGTTGAATCCCCAGTAGTGTTTGACAAATTTGGTTTTTTGTGTGAGGCAGGGTGTTTTTACTGAAAAAAATTGAAGATTTTTGGAGGTTCACACATTGTCCAGTGATAGCATTGTACTGGCTGAGGATGTGAAGGATAGGATGGGCTTATTCTGTATCTGCCTTGGAGAAAAGCAATGTGTCATCTGCAAACATGAGATGGGAGATAATGGGACTGTTCCTGCAAATTTTTATACCTTTAAACTGACCTGAGGCAGAAAAGCTGTTAATTATATGAGATAAAATTTGTGAAACCAACAGGAAAATATAAGGCGATAAGTCGAATTCCCCTAGTTGGTATCACATAGCCACAAACAGAACCATTTAGATTGAAAGAAAATGAGGCAGAGTTCAAACAGGCCAGAATCCATTTTATGAAAGAGTCGTGAAAACCTAGCTTTAACATTATGTTTCTAACACTAGTCCATTCGATTCTGTCAAAGGTTTTACACATGTCGAGTTTAATGGCGATGTAACAAGAATTTCCTGTCCTGTGTCGATTAAGAAAATGGAGAGCTTCATGAGCTAGGATTACATTTGTCTAATATTTGTATGTGAGAAATGAAAACAGACTGGTTATCACTAATGCAAAACGGTAAATATTTTGTCAGTCTATTAAAAAGAATTTTAAAGATGACCTTATAAGTAACCCCACATAGACTGATAGGTCTAAATTGGGTTATCTTATCAGGATGCTTCACTTTTGGGATTAGGGTGATAAGTGTATACTTTTAAGCATTTTCGCAGATTGAAAGAAACTAGTAACTAAAGCACAAAGATCAAATTTAATTAGGGACCAGAAGTGTTGGAAGAATAAAGTGGTCATACCGTCTTGACCAAGGGCTTTGTGAGGGGAAATGGAGAAAAGAACAGCTCTAATCTCAACTTCTTCAACAACAGCAGTAAGGTCAGTGTTCATATTGTCAGTGATCACCGTCCGCACTCCTTCAAGAACTGAGTTATCTAAGACAGGTCCTTGTGAGGAGAAGAGTGAGGCGTAAAAATCTTCTATGCAATGGGCTATCTCATCTGGTGTTTCACTTATAGTTGAGTCATCATTGATAAGCCTGGATATTTTATTGGTTTTCCTCCTCTGAGTAGTATGGGCATGAAAGTAGCGGGAGTTCTTGTCGCGATGTTTAAGCCAAGAGATTCTGGACTTTTGGTGCCAATATTGTTCTTCCAGAGTGTAGGTAGCATTCAGCTCTTTCTGAATTGAGTCCCATCGAGTCCAATCTCGTAATTTTTTATTTATTGAAATCATGGTTTTTTAATTCGAAATTGTTTATGTTAGTTTGTAGGTTTTTTCTTTTCAGAAAAAAAATGTCCGACAAGGACTGAGAATTAGGTCAGATCTCCAACTTATGAATAGATCAAATGTTCAGTTAAGGTGAAAACATAATCAGTCTACAAAGTATATGTATGACTTTGGACTAACAAGTGTCAGGGAGAATACAATATGCACCACAAAAGTTAATTAAAACAAATCTCAAAACAAACTTAATCTAGTGAAAGTGGAAAGATAGATAGTCAAGTGATCCTTTGCACCAGTACGTAAGCAGAGTGGGGCAGTGTCACCTTAGAAGGTGTGCCTCTCAGGGATGGTAGCGCGAAGTCCAGTATGAAAATCGACAAGTTGGTTTCCCACACGAAAGATGTGCGTGATCCTGTGATATGAACCGATCAAAGTATGATCTGATGCACATGAGCGGGGTGTTGGATCTGCTACGAGCCCTAATTACTCGAAGTCGGAAAGGTGGCAACAACAACCACATCCAACTCAACCCTAATGTGCGTGGAGAAGTGTGCAGCAATTTTGAAGGTCAGACTAAAGTTCCTCAATCTTGGCGTCGTAGCTCGAAGAGGCGTGAAAGGAGTGTGTAGAAAGCACTAATGAGCTCTCTGTTGTGGTCCCAGATCAGACCTCCTCCTCCGAGTAGCTCTAGTGTGTCAATCAAGCAAACCATCAGTGGTTATGATGATCCAGGGTAAGTCAGGTCTCATCCAAACAACAACGGGAGGGCGAATAGACTGAAGAGAAGATTAAGTGGATGGTGTGAGTTTGTGCGACAACACGCAAACTGTCTAGTCTCGTGATGTGAGTCTGCCAAGGCTATAAAAAATGAGATGTGTCGCTCCACCTGCAAAACAATATGAGAGCACAAAAAAAGTAACATTCATGTGTTTTGCACTATTCCTCTATGTCCAAATAAACCACGTGATTATACAAAGAATGAGGAAGTCCACGTATATAAAATTCTTAAGTTGATCGATCAACTCACTAGTCAATTTATAATTATTTCTCGTTTACCAAAAAAAAAAAACTATAGTTTTGCGTACTCAAGTTGTTCTAAAATTTACTATCATATTAAACTTTATTATTTTGAATGGTTGTTATATAATTATTCTATGTTATTAAATTTTTTAACTGTTTTAGATCAAAAATGATTAATTTTTTAAACGTTATGATCAACATTTATTAAGTTGAGAATTTGAATACAAAAAAACATTTAAAATTAGGTATTAGAAGTTATTTATTTATTTTTTTCTAAAAATAAATGTAAACACCGTATCTGAATAAGATAAATCATTATATGCTAAAAGAAGTACGAAATAAAATTTAACATTATTATTAAAATATCAAATCCCCCCATATATTAATTCAAAACGTGTTAAATCTGAGTGATAGACTCCCCGGCTTCGAATGCTTATTTGGCGTAAAATTGGGCTTCGTATTGACACATATACTCTATGGTTTAAGTCCAGTGTTTTAGAAGTCGCTAGGCGCCCGCTAGGCGGCCGACCAACGCCTAGCGCCTAGAGCGCCGAGTCGGGGCCTAGTCGGGGCCAGAAATTATAATAAATATAGTTTATTTTATTTATTTTCACAATTTCACTAATAAAATTATAACTTATAATTAATAAATCCATATACCTAAGTCCCAAACTTTTAAATTTCTACTAAGTTCTTCTCATTGTAATTTTATCAAACACATTATCTACATGTTATGTTTTAAACATTACAAAAATAATAGAATTATAGCAACCAACTAAACTCCATATTTCACTAACTAAATCAACTAATTAATTTAACATAAATAATAATACAATAAAACACATGAATAACATAATAAGGAATAAAAAAAATATGTTCTAGCTAGGCAGCTACATGTTACTCCCTTCATTTTTTATTAATTGTCGTTTGAGAGTACATTCTTTTTTGCTTATTAATTGTCGTTTTGGCAGTGTTTTGAGACCCGGACCGGCCCGGCGGGTCGACCCGGGACCCGGTCGACCCGGAGCCGGAACCGGTCCGGGTGGAGTATTTGGACCGGGCAACCAAGGACCCTGTCAAACCCGGTCAAAACCCGGCCGACCCGGTAGAGACTCGGCCGACCCGGGGCATTGACCCGGCCGGGTCAACCCAGTTGACCCGGTCCATATATATTTTTTATATATTTTTTTATTTTTTTTTATTTTTTAAAAATAAAAATATGTATATATGTTTATATGGTAAATATTTATCATGAAATACATATTATTAACACTTTAATATACAAATTTTATACACAAAACATTTAATTTGTTACTTTTATGTATATTTATATAACAAAAACTAGTACGAATCCCGTGCGATGCACGGGTAAGAGATACATATTAATATTTATATTAAACGATGGGATATACGTTAATAACATAACACGTAGAGAACTAAAGTAAAACACAACCACACATATGTCTATATATTTGAAAATAAAATTAAAAACATAACCATTTGCTTATATTGTCAACATCTTGCTGCGTAGCAAAATTGCAAAAGTCAAAATAAAACATTGGAAAATCGGTAAGATACTTCAACACTTTGCAGTAATAGATTGTGATTTACTAATGTTACTTTCTACCATCCTCGAACTTGTCACTCATCTTTGTAATGTTAACGTCACGAATTAGTCCAGTTATGCGGCCACCCTGTAAAATGGCAATACAAAAAAATATTTTCATCAAAAAATATTAAAATAATAGATATTGACAACTACTATTAAATCACATAATAAAGAATACTAACATCACTATTGTGGAAAACTATTTCCAAATAACTTCTGTAAGAGGCATCAAACATCGTCTTAAAGATGTTGCTGGAAGTTTTAAGATGACTTTCGTATTTCATTTAAAATCCTTGATTAGACCAAGGGTTGATCCATGCCTTTATTTTGAATGTGTAAATTTATGATTAATATTGGATTTCATTTACCAGGAATGTGAGTTTATTTATAGATGAAATTTTGGTGCTTATATATGTACTTATTTTCTAAGTTTTAAAATGTGGATTTATATGATATAAGCTTATTACTTGATTTGATTTTTTTTTTTTTGGGCGATTTTGAGAGAAATAAACATAGGAACTACCCTCAAAAACCCAAAAACTAACTCCCCATGAAAAAATTTGTGGGGCGAAGTTTTAAAACATCACAAGATTAATGCTTTCACAAAAATTACAGCATTTATGTACTCATTCTTAAAATGCACCAAAATGAATGCATTTTACCTCTGCTTTTGCTGATAAAATATCTCCTAGTTTTTTCAAGAGCTCAGGTGGTGCGTGGTTGTCGATTTCTGCTCCCAATATTGCAATTGAAATCTTGACTTCTAAAATCCACGGTAATAAGAAAATGAAATGTTTCTATGGATGGTTAAATGTTAAAATAACATTAATTTTGAAAAATTGAGAATTAATATATCGAAATATAACCATTTATTTCTTCTTCTGTAATGGGACCTGGATGCAACAAAACTACTGCTTGTATGCAGTCAAATTTGACCAATTTCACTGCAACCATCACTATAACCAAAGGCAACATAATTCAACTTCTCAAAATATAAAGATTTGTCCAAATAGTCAATGATATATATATATATATATATATGTATATATATATATTCTAATATATGATATGTTCTAATGGATATTTTTAAGCCATTCATTGACTTTTCTAAATTTGTTACATCTTATATGGAATTGAAATTTCATAACAAACTTTGGAAGGTGTCTGTAATTTTGAAACTTCCTCTATATTTTCTAGTGATCATCAAAGTCCAATCCAAGAGTAGTTTTGCAAATATCTAAAACAATAAGCAAAGAGAATAATAGACAATTGATTTTGCCTCCCCAACAGAAACCTGCTGCTCCAATTTTGGACACTCCTTTGCTTCTTAAGTCATCAATTACAATCTTGGAATCCTCACAACCTTTGTCCTGTAACAATAGCACTAGAGTTTTAAGGAAGTTTGACAAAATAATAGAACAATGTTTCTCTTGTGCAATCAGACAAATGAGTTTTGAGTTTTTTTTTTTAAACTTCACAATTGATTAATTCAGATGTGGAGGTCAGTAGTACAACCCCGGAAAAATTTACATTTTTATTTGGTAAACAGGGTTGGTCCAAGGCAAATACTTCAAATTGAATCTCATATTATTGCAACTACATAGTAAAAAGAGAAAAGGATACTGTAAAAAAAAAGGCCAGATGTTTAATATATAAAGAGAATGCATTAATAAAATGTTCATTAAACTCCTTACATGTACCCTTTTTTTTCTTACGAATGCACAACTCTTGATTCTTGAAGGTGCATCCGCTTTTTATAACGCATACAAAAACTTAAAGAGCATTTGTATATATATTTTTCCTTCTAGTAATTAGAAAGTAAATTTTATAAACAACTTTGTGATTATGTCCTATTTTATCTTTACATTATTGCAATTTTTTTTTCATATATTACAATCCTGTATTCGCCAATGATTACAACTAAATAGCAAGAGTGGTTCAACAGTAACCAGACTATGAGCCTCTAGCCATGATTCTCTAGACTTTTCAAGGCCAAACGGATCACCGTAGAAGAAATCAGGAGCCACTACCAAGAAGCCTGAAGCTGCAATTTTGTCTGCAAGTTTCTTATATAATGAAGCAAAATTTTAAAAAATTATATCAATTTAGACTGTGATCGTTAAGACTTCATAACATGATTAGAATAAAGTACAGTTGGATTTCAAGCACCAACTGCCTTACTTTATTAACTGACTTTCAAATTTAGAAGTAGCTCCAAGACATACCTCTCAAGTTTTACTCAATTGTAAAAACACAACAAAAACTTTGATCTTTTGACAATTTACACTAATCGTTGTGCTTGCATCAGTTTCTGGCATCATGTTGGAATTGAGAAAACAAACAAACTAATATTGAATACAAACTAAGGCTTATAATGGGCTAACAAAGAAAACAAAAATTGACCACTTCGGGCATTAATCCACTAATACCATCAAGACTCAAACTAAGCCTTAAAAATAGACAAACCCAACCAACTAAGAAATAGAATAACATGTAATGCATGAAGCTAAATAAACATAAACTAATGATCGTATGACATGGCCAAGCTGGAGTTGTATTTTTACCACATTTTGTAACTTACAATTACCTTGCTTAGTTTTGCTATACATTGCAAATAGACGTACGGAACACAGAAGACTATATGTAATATTATGAAAATTTGAGGATGTAATTGTACGTCAGCTTAACTAAAGATTGGTACAAAAGTGCAAGATAGAATCTTCACTTGAAGGATCTGTTTGAAAAATAAAATCTTTTAGATTCATCACTTGGAGTATCTGAAAATAATCAACGTAGAACTATAATAGTTAACATCTGAAAATAGTTAACATCCTCAATACTCTATGTATAGGTAGTGATCAAGCTGCCAATAAGATAAATAATAAACATTCAAATAAAAATGAAAATGAAAATTCAAATCACGATGTAACTAAAATCAATGTTAGGGTGACATTCCACCCACGATGCCCAGACCCCAAATCCATAACATTAACATAATTGCCCCACAAATCAAAAACCTCCATGCAAATGATCACTGACCAAAATCATCACCACTTAATGACTGCAACACAATTCCAAGAACACCTCTACTGAAAATTAGCAACCAAGCATACTACTTCAAGCGGATAACAACTGGAAAAATCTCAAATTCACTTAATTACTTAAGTCCGTAGTTAGCAAAAGTCAATCTGAGAGACCCAAACGAATATTAAGTAAAAATTTCACCTTTTTCTCCTCAGATAACGGCGCAAGTTGCTTCTTCCCGGCAGCAGCAGCGGGGCTAAAGTGACGCCGCTTCTTGTCAGCCTCACCTGTACTACCCATCATAATCACACCCCACAAAACTCTAGAATCACTACACTTATTAAAAATTGAAAAGCAGAAAATTCATGGTCAATCTACAAAAGGCCATGCATGTACATCAAAAAAATNAAAAAAAAAAAAAAAACAATTAGAAAAACCAATTGATAGAAAAGGTCGACATTTCTCCAACTGAGGAAGAAACCCTAGGTCTCAAAAATTGAAAATAAATAAATAAATACAACTCAATTATACAGAGTTCATCTCGCTTATTTCGAGATAGGCCGTCGAGCTCCACAGCCGTGATGTAGCCGTTGCCGTCGCGGTCGAAGGAGCGGAAGACCTCCAATAGTTGGTCTTCCATGTCGGGGAGGATGGCGACGGCGAGCTCGTCGAACTCGACAGCACCTTTGTCATTGGCGTCCATGTTGGCGAGGAGGGCGTGGATCTGGTCGCCGGAGGGCTTGAGGCCGAGAGACCAGAGGAAGGCGGCGCATCGCCCTTGCCGCCAGCGCCGATTCAATTCCGTCCGCGTTGTTTTCAGGCTCGACCACCGGCCGGATTTTAGAGAAACGATTGGATGGGGAAGAAAGGAAATTGATTTCGAGATTTGGAATTCTTGGGTGTTATTGATAAATTTTAAGAGGATAGTTGAGGATGGCTGACCAATTCTGATGTTGGGAGGTAATTTGCGATTGGAGAAAGAAGAAGAAGGAGAGTGACGGATGAGGGAAAGAAGAAAATTGGGCAGAAGAAGAAAAGAGGGGAAAATGGAGAGAGAAAAAAAAAAGATTTGGGGATGAGTAGAGAGAGATTTCCCTTTTTTTCTCCTTTTTCCTTTTCCTGCGGAACTTTTCTTTCAAATTTTAAATTAAAAAAATCAGATTGTAGAAATAGATAAGTCCAAATAGAGTGAAATCAATAAATAAAATCTCCAAAAATTTGAACTGGCGGGCTTATTCAATTTTTTCGTTAAAAATCCTGCTCATTATAGTAAAATTTAGGCGGGATTTGAAATCTTTTTTTTTTCTTGATTTTCTACATGATTTTTTCAAACAACTATCATTCCCTCTTTCCCTCTTTATATATTAATAGATACTCTATATATAATTTTAAAAAAATTTAAATTAATTATCCGGTTCAGCAATTGACCCGGTGACCTGACGGTTGAACCGGTGACCCGGTGACCCAAGGACCTGCCCGGGTCGATCACCGGGTCGGGTTTAAAAACTATGCGTTTAGGGGCAACCATGAATTAATTAATTTGATAAATATCTCGAATCCTTTTTTAATGCTACGTATCTTTATCTAATAAGGAGAGAGAAAATTAAAAAGGTATTTAAATAAGATTTAGAAAATTTAGAAAAATCTAATACTACATGATAAGACAATTTTCCTTCAAATACGTAATTGTGTTCTTTTAAGCTAAAACGACAAATAATATAAAACAGAGGGAGTAGTATTTACTTGAGCCCCGTTGTTTCCCGTCCGCCTCAGTTCAAGTCTCGACACCCTTTGTCTTCACTAGCTTGAATAGGCGATCTTAATCTGTATTTACTTTCAAATTGATAAGATTAATAAAAAAACAGAAAAAGAAATAATAGTAACGTGGTCCCGCGCATCTACCATTATACCCCTCGTACCACCGCCCGATTCCACTCTGCAAGAACTCCAAACCATTCTCTTTTTTTTCTTCTTCTTTTTTTTCTTCTTCTTCTTCTTCTTCTTCTTCTTCTTCTTCTATGCGCGGGAACTTCAAACCCTTCTCTTCTTCTTCTTCAAGTTGCCCAAGCTCGTGCCACCCCTGAAATGAGAGTCAATCTTGGAACCAGAAAGAAGGCTTCATCCTGGTCATGGATAGATCACCCAGGTTCGGGTCCATAAGCAGTGACTTGAAATACAAAATTAGAACAGAAAATCTTTTCCCCATGACATGTTGCAAATTATATCTACATAATGCACGTTTTGGGAAAAAAAAAAAAAATAGTAGTAGGTGTGTGTTGATTGGGTGAACATAAATAATTAATTTGTAGTAAAACTTTTAGTGTAATGTGGGATAACAGGTAGACATGAATACTCATTAAATCTATTTAGTAATACAATAGACATTAATATACAGCTGTAGGCCTCTTTTCAGATTAATCTATATAGGAAACATTTAATGCATGCCGTTTTTGGAAACTTTTTAAATATATACATTAACTATTTATATATATACGTTTTCAAATAAGATCAAATAAGATATGATCAAAAAATTAAATAAATTTATTAATATCTGCAATATTTTCATTGATATTTATTATAATAAATTACAAAATTGATTTCCATGATCCATGTTGATAATTTTTTGGTCAAAATAAATATTATTTTATTAATATTTGTAATACTTTCATTGATATTCATTATAATAAATTACAAGATTGATTTCCATAATCCATGTTGCTAATATTTTGGTCAAGATAAATATTACACCATATTTTAAGTTCTAACCATAATATAATTTTTCTTTTTTCACAAATATTCACTTTTTATACAAAAATATTTATGGAAAATCGTACAGGTTAGGTAGAATTGTTTTTCCAAGTAATCTGAAAAAATCAAGTTGGTGAATTAATCTTTGCCAATATATTTTTTTCTTACATTTATTTTGTTAAATATAAAAAATAAATTGTTCTTCAAATTAATATAATTTACCATTTAAGAGATACTGACCATATACATTAAATAGTTTTACTAATGGTAAAAAATTAAAATTGAAATATATTAACTATTTTTTAGAATTTATTTGTATAATTTGGCACCCATGATTATTTTTTTTATTTTGATTTATTTTTATAATTAAATTCTTGTAAAATAAATTTTCATTGCAGAGTATACTAAATAAACTATAAATCCTTATAATGCGAATTAGAAAAATCTTGATCATAGAAGAGATTGAGTTTTTGGAATTTTTTAAATCAAATTTGTTTAATTAGTATACAAAATTAAATTCTAAAAAAAAACATGTGTATATTTTGTAAAATATTTACACACTATTTAATTTTAAATTTATTTACATATTTTAAATTGATTACATAAATAAATAATACTAATGTGCATTAAATATTTTTCATTACATAAAATAAAAAGAAAAAGAAGACGTACAACTTCCATAACTTTATAAATAATAATGACATTATATGACAACAAAGTTTATAATAAAATAATAATGAAGTATTATATGGTGAACAAGAATAAGTAAAATTATTATTCTCTCTTATATCAAGGAATAAATATATATATACTAAAATCAAATTTATATTAGTATAAATGTATTAGTGAGATAATATATAAATTATTTTACTACACTTAACGCTGATTAAGAGAGGTGGAAAATATATGATAACCCTATTGCTTTATATAC